GCCCTATAGGATGAAGGGTTTCCAAAGCTGTAATCTTTATGGAAGCAGACTGTCGCATCAGTCTCCCACACAGCAGCTAGTGGGTTCATACCACCAACGTTTTGATGCATAGCAGAGTACTTTAACCACTGCACTACCAGGGCTTCTTATACCACTGTTGTTGTTGTTGTTGTTATGTGCCGTCGAGTCGGACCCGACTCACAGCGACCCCTCCTTGGGTTTCCGAGGCAGTATCACTACGGAAGTAGATTGCCCCATCTTCCTTCTGAGGAGTGGCTGGTGGGTTTGAACCGTCTTATACCACTAGGATGGCTGAAATTAAAAAAAGACAAATGATAATGAATGTTGGTGAGAACATCTGTTGGAGAAATTCAAACCCTCATACATAGCTGGGAGGGTTGTAAAATATTGCAGCCACTATGGAAAAACGGTTTGACAATTCCCTAAAAAGGTAAAACATGTGACCCAGTAATTCCACTAAGTATATACCTAAGACAATTGAAAACATATGTACATGCAAAAACTGGCACATGAATGTTCATAGCAGCATTATTCATACTAGCCAAAAAGTGGAAACAACGTAAATATCTTTCAACCGATATGGAGTATCTATATAATGTAATATTATTTGGCAATAAAAAGAGATAAAGCTCTGGTAGCATAGTGGCTAAGGCACTTGACTGCTAACCAGAAGGCTGGCGGTTCAAACCCACCAGCCACTCCTCGGAAGGAAGATGGGGCAATCTACTTCTATAGTGATACTGCCTCGGAAACCCAAGGAGGGGTCACTATGAGTCGGGTCTGACTCGACGGCACATAACAACAACGACAGCCTACCATAACAAGGATGAATCTGGAAAAATGTGATGCTAAGTGAAAGAAGCCAATCAGAAAGGGCCACAAAAAGTATGATTCCATTTCTAGAAAATGTCCAGAAGAGGCAAGTCCACAGAGACAGAAAGCAAATTAGTGTTTGCCTGACACAGAGGAAATGGGAAGTGACTGCTGATGGGTACAAGTTTTCGGTGAGGGTGATAAAAATGTTCTGAAATTAGTGGTGATGTTTGTACAACTCTGAATATACTAAACCCACTGAATTGTGCACTGTAAACGGGTAAATTTTATGGTATGTGAATAGCATCACAATAAAGCTGTTACTACAAACTTCAGGCTCTGCTGTTGGCTTTGAGCCTCAGTGTCATCTTCTGTAAAATAGGGCTAACTAATTACAGAGCTTAGCTGAAAGAGCAGTTGTGAAGATTGAATAAGAAATTGCCTGTAAAACTCTTGGCAGAGTAACTGGTATAGTAAATATTCAATAATAGAGACAATGTTGATGATTTTCCTTAATTGTATACCCTTTCCTTTATCCATTCTGAGTCATGGAAGCATTGGTGCTTTTAGCAAAATAGGTTGGGGATTCACGAAGACCTAGAATGAATGAAACCTGACCCTCTCCTTAATACCCTCAGATCACATGTGCTTCTGATGGAGTTACAGTCTTATGGCTCTGATATGTTATTTATTTCTTAACTAATATAACTGAGACCTTGCTCAAGATGTGCTTATGAAAAATTACCCTTTTAATGGTGGAGCATTTAATGAGAAACTGGATTATCTACTGCATAAGTGCCCTTCATACAAATTAGCTTGGCCCTGGGTCCTAATCTAAATTGGGCTCCCTACTTTCCTCTAAATGGCCTAATATTTTCATATTAATCCCTGCCCTTATTCACCTGATCTGGCTCTGCCTCCTCTTATGAATCTCCCTCCCCAGTAGAGTTTGGTGCCCTGACAAATGTTTCTTTAGGCTGTCTTTGTGTCTGACTCATGGACATTTTTTGGACATGACGTGATGGCTGGAAGCTATTTGTTCCATTTTCAAGCTGTATCTCCATCCCTTAGTGGAGTTTTAATACTGCCAGTGTACTCAGTATCAACAGATTGGAGTCAGGTGAGTTTGGTACAAGGTCAGGATAAGGCTATATTTTAGGGAAGTCTGTTGGATGAGAAGCAATTAATCATAGTGCTTGAGAGAACGGGTTTGCAGAAAAAGAACACAAGCATACCACAAGGATAGGCTTCAAGATCAGATATTTGACATCAGACATCATTTCCTAGCTATGAGAATTTGAGCAAATTACTTGGCCTCTCAAATATTCAATTTAGATCCTCATCTATAAACTTGAATAATAATACCTATCTCTGGGATTGTTTCCAGGGTCAATTGAGTCAGTATATATAAAATGCTTTGTACAACCCACTGCCACTGAGTCAATTCTGACTTATAGCAACACCATAAGACAGAGTAGAACTGCCCCATATGGTTTTCAAGGCTGTAAATTTTTATGAAAGCTCACTGCATCTTTTTCCCACAGAGTGACTGGTATGTGTGAACACCCAAACTTTCGGTCAGCAGCCAAATTCTTTAACCACTGCACCACCAGAGCTCCTTAAAGTGTTTTGTATACCAAAACCCAAACCAAACTCACTGTCATCGAGTCGGATCTGACTCATTGCAACTCTTCCTTGGGTTTCCATAGTGATACTATGGAAGTAGATTGCCCCATCTTCCTTCTGAGGAGTGGCTGGTGGGTTTGAACTGCCAGCCTTCTGGTTAGCAGTCAAATGCCTTAGGCACTATGCTACCAGAGCTCCTAAAATACTTTGTATAGGAGATGATAAATGCTATCTGGTATCATTATAGTTGATATTTTGGGGAAGTCCCAAGTAATGATAGGAATGGTGAATGGAACAGTGTCATGTGTTGAAAATGCAGGAACAGTATCTATGATGGAGTAAAATAATCTTCACAAGAAACCATAGACCAAATCATATGCTACTCTTACCAAAAATTACAGAATAACAGCAAGAGGTGACCTGCAGTACCACAGGCTCTGTTTAGCTAGATGTTAATATAAGGTCTATTGGGGCAGATGATCTTTTGTTCTCAGCTCTAGCCTGACATCTGCCCTCACATAACCTTGAGGTTTGATTTTTGCATTAATTATAGTTTCTAGCTAATCATGTTATTTTGTTGTATGAATATTATTCAAAGGCTTTAAAGTTCTAGGTGTCAGCAGGGGTATAGCAGAAAAAAACACGAACTGCAAACATCCCTCCTTTATGCCCCCTTCATTGTATTTTCTATGTGTTTCTTATACTGGGCTGCTAATACTGTTATTGCGACAACTGCCATTTACAAGATATGCTACCATGTGACAGATATTAAAATACATTCTTTGCATTTATTATCTCATTTAAGTTACTATTCATAGCAACTCTGGAAAGTACATCTTTTATCCTCATTTATCAGATAAGGAACAGGTTCAGAGTCTACTTGACATGCACGTGAGGAGCCGTGATTTGAAATGAGGTTCTATCTTTAATGCTTGTACCTTTCTCATGCACCAAGCATCATGCATGGCACCATTTTATTTGCTGTAACAGAAAACTGTCTCTGCCCTCAACCAGAACTTGAGCTGCTAGGGGCACAGACTTTGTCTTATTCATCTGCTGCCAGTGAGTAACAACAGATGCTCAGTCAAGGCTGAATGAATAAATGAATGACACGAAACAGAAGAGCTGTATACAATGTCAGCTATTGTTACTGTTGCTTCCAGCTTAAATTTGTCCTCAGATAATCCTGAACCCCACATTACGGAAAGGCCGTAGTTTGCACATCGTTCAGATAGAGGGAAATGTGTTCTTTCTCATGTCCTCAGCTCTAGGTTTCTGACCGATGGGGGAAGACACTGGGGAGGAGTATCTCAGAGTTGAAGGTTAACAGTATTCTGGGAGATGAGCATCACAGGGCTAGGGTGTTCTAGGATTGAAGAACCACATATGCAGTGTCCTGACCTGTAATTAGGCAAACTATTCTGAGGTTAGAGCTGGGTTTGAATGCCTATGTGTTTTTCCAGTTGCTGACTATGTGAACTTGAACAAGGTACTTGAATTCTGTGACCTTCATCTTTATCATCTAGATAATAGGTGGGTTATTGTGAAGAGTGGGGATAAAGTTTATAAAATATCTCACAAGAAGCACATGCTCAGTCCATAGTAACTACTGTCTTGATTTTATGTAGGTATATTTGAACTCCTGACTGATTGCTCTTAGCAAAATATTATGTTAGTAATTATGGAGAGAGCCCTTTGCAAGGTATGGAGACACCATACCAAGTAGGTGGAAGCCTATTTCTATACACACATGAGTTAGCAGAAGAGATATCGTAAAACCTTTTTTTTTTTTTTTTTTTTTATAATTGTCCCTGGGTCATTACTTGATACAAAAGCAATTACTCTAGAGTCAGACTATAAAACAGCCCGTGGAATTGGGTGTAAGGAGGGTCTTGGACCCTGGCCAAAGTCATATTTAATGCTAGAATTGCAAAAGAGACTGAATGCTAATTCTAGCCTAACAAGAATTTCAAATGTGAACTCTCAGTGGGTGATTATTATTTGTTGAATATTGGGTATCATACACTATATTAGGTGCTTTACACATGTAACCAGTTTCTGTTTTCTTAATGCTACATTGGGGTTAGGAGCTCTGGTAGCATAGTGGCTAAGGCACTTGACTGCTAACCAGAAGGCTGGCGGTTCAAACCCACCAGCCACTCCTCGGAAGGAAGGTTGGGCAATCCTACTTCCGTAGTGATACTGCCTCGGAAACCCAAGGAGGGGTCGCTATGAGTCGGGGCTGACTCGACGGCAAACAACAACAAACAACAACATTGGGGTTAGTTATTTTAAAATTTCTTTTTTCCTTCCTGAAAAAGCTGAGGTTCAGAGAAGTAAAGTAATTTGCCTCAAGATTTAAATGTATGAAAGTAGAATTTATACCCTAGGAGTATTACCATTCTGTCCTGCTGGGTCTAGTGATTTGACTTTCCAGTAACATAGATGAAACTGAAGAGTGAATCTTGGAACTGTGGATACGTAAAACCTTTGGAGACTGGGCACCACCATATCTGAATCCTGCTTTTCTCTGTTTTTAGGTCAGGATCGCAGTGAAGCCACTTTGATAAAGAGGTTTAAAGGTGAAGGCGTCCGGTACAAGGCCAAACTGATCGGAATTGATGAGGTTTCTGCAGCTCGGGGAGACAAGTTATGTCAAGATTCCATGATGAAGCTCAAGGTGCCAATCTTTTACCTTAAATGTCTTGAGGTTAACGTGAGTGAGAAAAAGAAATGAGACTCAGTATCATTATGGTAAACAACTTTATTCATTTATTGGCAAATTACTTGATTCACTGATGAATCATCTCATTTATTCATTGGGAAAAGATTTTAACCCTTCAGAAAATGTTGATTGTGTATGTACTATGTGGAGATAAGTTGCCAGGCTCTGCTTTATGATTTTTGAGGGCAACATATACTTACTCAGTTTTATCTTCATTGTATAATCCCTGCTAAAAAAAAAAAAAAAGGAGTGCAAAATTATCAAATTGTTTAACACCTCAAATATTGTGAATTTTTACCACTTTTTTATTTTGAATAAAAATTTATATATTTTGCCATAAGGTATGGCAAATATGACAAAAGGTAATATGCAAAGATAAAAACCAATTTCATTCATTCTTCTAATTTCTATTAATGTAGCCTGAATACTTTATAATAAAGGAAGAATATTTTGAAGTAATGTTGTTGTTGTTGTTGTTAGATGCCATCGAGTTGTTTCCAACTCATAGCGACCCCATGCACAGCAGAACGAAACACTGCTTGGTCCGGCACCAGCCCCACAATCCCTGCTATACTTGAGCCCATCATCACAGCCACCATGTCAATCTATCTCATTGAAGGCCTCCTCCTCTTTCATCGACCCTCCACCCTACCAAGCATGATATCCTTCTCCAGGGAATGGTCCCTTCTGGACAACATGACCAAAGTAGGTGAGACGAAGTCTGGCCATTCTCACTTCCAAGGAGCATTTCAAGTGCACTTCCTCCAGGACAGATCTGTTAGTTCTTTTAGCAGTCCATGGTACTTTCAGCATTCTTCACCAGCCCCACAACTCAAAAGCATTGACTCTTC